ACAAGCTCATTGTCTCTGGCTCTAACCCTAATTCCACCTGGGGATGAATTTTTTTCTAATGGATCATTGGTGTATTCCTCTTCTTTCTTACCAAACACACCATTGCTACCACCAGTGGAGGCTAAACAGGAGCAGACCAGGAGGCCTCGGGGGTGGGGCTGGACAAGAGGTCAGGCTTCTGAGTTCAGTTCCCAAGTTTTCTGACTGCACCCAGATTTCACACCTCTACAGATAGATCCTTGAGGCATCCTCATAAAATTCTCAACAGATGTTTGCTGACACAGGAACCCCCTGGGATGAGGTGAATCTCCTGGAGGAACTATCGTGAGCCAAGTCCCACAGGGCTCTTGCTGTCTCCCTAGGGCCACTGGTGGAGGCCCGAGTGCTCTGTCTTTGTCCAGCTCACAAACTCCATTCCTCTTCCTCCCACCTCCTCTCCCAATATCAGCCTTTTCAATGACATCAAGATAAGACCTCAAATGACAGAATTTCAGAGACTTCTATTTTCTTTCTTTTATATGTGTATGTGTTTTGCCTGCATGTATGTGAATGCACCACGTGCATGTCTGGTGCTTGTGGAGGCCAAAAGAGGGTGTCAGAGGCTCTGAAACTGGAGTTAAGGATGTGTGTTATCTGTCATCTGGATTCTGGGAACTGTATCTGGGTCCTGTGGAAGAGCAATAAGTGCTACCTCCTCAGCCCCTTTTTTTATGATAAGGTCTCACTGTGCTTCCATGGCTATCCTGAAACTCACCATGTAGATCAAATTGGCCTCAAACTCACAGAGATCGGTCTGCCTCTGCCTCCCGAGTGCTGGGATTAAAGGTGTAAGCCACCAATGCCTGGCCCCACTTTTTGTTTGGGGGATGGGAAATAGAAAGTCCTTCCTAACTTCTTGAAATCTATAAGAGGAACAGGAGAAAGAAAAACACCGAGAACTTAAGGCAAATGAATATGCTACAGATTACTATGTTATTTATAGGTTGTGTAGTGAGGCCGTGGAATATGGTGAGGTGATAGAAAGTTTGCAATCCTGGTCCTACCTCTTGCTGTCCATGTAACCCTGCCCTAACCTCCTCATAAGTGAAACAAAAGTGATTATAGTCCCACACTGTGACTGTGAAGGTCAAATGATTCGTACAGCACTGAGTACCACATGGGGACCCAGGAGGGTTCATCAGATGTTAGCTGTTGTCACTATTCAGTCTCTCACTGGGGGAACTTGGACCTTCCCTCATAGTGTGCTTCCAATATATTACTATAAAATAATGGCTATTTTTCAGGCTTAACGATACCATATCCTCTGTATAACCAAAGAGATAGAAAAAGAAGGAAAGACGGGATGAAGAAAGAAGCTCATTCTGTTCAAAGCATGCTCACCGAGGCTATGGGCACTGACCTTTGCCTGCCCAGAAGGTTGATGCTCCCGGAGAAGGGGCTAGTCTAGCTGTGATGACGTTCCCGGCAGAAGGACTCCTGGTGGGATGTGTTTGTTGTCGAGGGAGCACATCACCATTAGAGGTGTGCATCTTGCCATGAATGAGCACTGGGCCAGGAATCTCTTCCCACCCCTCGCTTGGAGTCATCTCTCAGCATTTGAAGCCCCACTTGCTCAGGGGTGTCCTCTCTCGCCCAATGTAAACGAACTCCCACTGTCGCTCTTGCTTATGGTTTCTTCTTTTGTTATTAGCCTTTATTCAGTTTTTAATGATAGATATTTCTGTGTTTATTTATTCAAGGTCTGCTGTCAGTAGATTACATAGCTCTAGAGGGCAGGGATTAAGTGTGTTTTATTGACCAAGAACAATGACTTAGCTTTAACTTTCTAATCTGTTAAATGAAGATAGTAATACTGCTTTTGCCCACCTCACTGAGCTGTGAAATTAAAAAAGATAATACATGGGAAACGTCCTTGTAAATCATACAATATGCTTCCCATATTAGTTATGCTTAGGGCTGTGTCTGTTTGAGGACCTGTCACAAACCGAACTCACAAAGATCCACCTGCCTCTGCCTCCAAAGTGCTGGGATTAAAGGCCTGTGCCACCATGTCCGGTGTAGAAAGTCCTTGGAGGAGAAACATCAAGAGAGCTCTTACTACAAGTCATAGCTCCAACCTCTAAAAACATCCTATCCTCTTATTTCACTCAAACCAGGGTTGAAGTGGTTGAACAGCAGCACTGAAGGCTGCAGAAACCTAGACATGGGTGGCAGTGCTCAGCCCAAAACTGATGGAGTCTATTTACCGTGTGAGGTACTGGTTGGCTGTTCCTTTCCTACTGAGAGGCGAGGATGGTCAAGGGGTCAAAATGACACCCTCCCTGCTCAACAGCAGTGAGATAGACATTTCCAGAAAAATGGCTGTCACTACCAGTTTTTCACAAAGAACAACTGGGAGGTGCGTGGATGTCTGTAAGTCCAATCATAGCACAGATATGTGTAGCTTTACATTTGAAACAGGAAGAGTTAGAGTTGGAGAGATGTAGTTGATGAGCCAGTAGTGAGAAATTATTCAGTCTGTGACCAGTATGCATCATGAATCAGAGGTTAAACATGCTTACTGAACTTACTGGGTTCATTTCCCAGCACTGCCATCAGGCGTCTCACAACCGCCTGTAACTGCAGTTCCAGGGTATCTGAGGCTCTCTGGCCTCCAATGGAACCTGCACCCAAGTAGTGCACATGAACTCATGTAGGCACACATATATATACACATCATTTTAAAAAATCTGTGCATGGGGGCCCAAAGACCAAACAAACATTAAACCAGGAGGATACAAAGAGAAAGATCAAATTGGACCCAAACAAGACAAAAATCCTCTTTACTAGCCATTCTGGAGTTTTGTCTTATTTCTCAGGGAGGAGGATAAGCCCTGTGATGTAAATCTCGACTGTTAACTTGACAGGACCTGCAATCAACTGAGAAGCATGCTTCTGGATGGGGCTGTGATGGTATTTTCAGCCCTGGATATGGGTGACATCCTAGCATCCCATTTTAGGGTCCTAGGCTGAATAAAAAAGAGAAAGCAAGTAAGCTGAATATTTGCATTCGTCTCGCTCTGCTTCCTGACTGCGAATGGGATGTGACTAGTCACCTCGTACTCCTGTCACGATGCCTTTCCTGCTGTGATAGACTGTACCCTCAAACTTTGAGCCAAAAGAAACCCTTCTTTCCTTATGTGGCTTTTCTCAGTCATTTTGTCACAGCAATGAGAAAAGTAACAAATACAAGGCCTCAAGATGGTAACTGAATGGGTTGGCATTCACGTGGTCCAATATGTGTACAGCTATGGTCTGCCCAGCCACTGGGGAGGCTGCTTGGGGCTTGTTTGCATACTTATGGAGTTTCCAGCTCTCCAAGAACATCAGATTCACAGTGGTTGATGAGAAACTGTTCCTTCAAGCTCTTGGCTCAGGCCTGAGGGAGGTCTATCTTACTGTGACTTTGTATAGCTATGATTGCTGTCAGTGCTCACAGAGGTGAGCAGCAACCAGGAGAAGATAAGGTAACAGGACAATGCTGGGTGACAGGCAAAAGGAATAGAAACAGGTGTGGGAAGGGGAACTTCACACTGAATGCTCAGAAAGACGAATGTCCACTGGAGGGGTAAATAAAGACAGTGAACAAAGAGCCAGAAGGATAACAGAGGTCCCAGTGACAACCCAGGAGGGGACAGGCTGGTGGCCACATGAGGGTGGTGAGGGTAAGAAGGAGAAATGGTACAAATGTAATGATTTATCTTTTAGATTTTTTTATTACTTTTATCTTATGTGTATGCATGTATTGCCTGCATGTATGTGAGTGTACCTGTGTGTTTGCAGTGCCATAGAGGTCAGAAGAGGGCATTGGATTCCCCTGGAAATGGAGTTAAAGATGGTTCTTAGCAGCCATGTGGGTGCTGGGAATCAAACCTGGGTCCTCTGTAAGAGCAGTCAGTGCTCTTAACCGCTGAGCCATCTCTCCAGACCTTACCTTTCAGATTTTTAAAGAATTTATTTACTTTAAATTTATGGGTATGTGTGTGCCTCCATGAGTTTATGTGTACCATTTGAGTGCAGGTGCCTAAGGAGGCCAGATGTTGTCAGATACCCTGGAACTGGAGTTATAGGTGGTTGTGAGCTGTGTGATGTCAGTGCTGGGAATGCAACTGTGTCCTCTTCAAGAGCAGTAAGCACTATAAAGTACTGAGCCATCTCTCCAGCAACTACTTTTTAGATATTTGGAAATTATTTTGAACTGATCCATAAAAAAATAATTGTACATTTTAATGGGGGGGGGTACCTTGTAATATTTTATAATTTTTTGAACTATCCTGAGTATTGCTATAAATGAGAATGTTTGACACTAGACTGAGAAAAATTGGGGTTAACTTTAGTGTTGAGTCTCATGGAACTGTGGCCACAGAAAGCAGCCGGTCTCAGGCAGTGCGCTGTGGGAGTCTGCCCACATTCCATCTAAGTTTACTCTAATCATGGTCTCCCTAGAGTGAAAAATGCGTTGAGCAGAGGCAGGGGTGTAGAGACAGACAGCTGTCGAGATCTAGGAAGGCTTCTTGTATCTGTCATTGACGGGACTGGAGCCCCAGGACGCAACTGTGGCGGCATCTGGGGAGACCAGGCCAGCACTGGACAGAGAAATCACACAGAAAGATTTAGGGTAAAGAGGAGAAGGCGTCTAATGCCACCATCTACTGGAGCGCAATCTCCCATCGCCAGAGCAGGGAGCCAGCAGTCACTCCGAAAAAGCCACCACTGAGTCCCCCAGAGTCCAGACAGAAAGGTGCTGGCCCTCCTGACTAAGCTGGGCGGACTGCAAAGGCGCTTCTAGAAGGCACTTGAAAATAAGGAGGGCACTGGAACGGATTCTCGGGTCCTTGCATGAAAAGGGCAGCCTGGGAGTCAGAAGGCAGGAGGTGGAGACGGTGCTGTGTGGAGACAGGGGAGCTTTGTGCCCTCGAGCAATGACGCACCCGAGCTTCTCCATCTTTCCATCTGCTCCACTTCCCGGCAGCATGCAGGGTCTCCTCTTTTCCAGCCTGCTCTTTACTGGACTGCCACAGGTAAGTCCTTCTTGTTTGCCACCACGGACTTTGGCTGTACTTAGTTCTTCAGGACAAAAGTAAAATGGGAAGACAAAGATGGGAAAAATTATATATGAAATTATTCCATGAGAAATGGGGAGCCGTTTTCCCCTCCAGGAAGTTCTGTTCCAGTTCAGTAGCTTGTGAGAAAAGTTAAACATTTCTTCCTTTCAGGCAAATGCACAGAGACCTACTGTCCTATGTTTGAACAGTCCACAACCTTTATATATATTTACAGCTCTCTGGGATGGGTACTGCTGGCCGCTGCAGCCGAGTAAACACTGCCCCTTCATGGGGGTTTACCGGCTCTGGCTCAGCTTTCCACAGCTTTCAATGTGTGCAAAGAGCCTTTACAAACATGGGCTTGGGCAAATGAATTTTTTTCTTTTTTTCAGCTAAGACTGTCCTGTTTGAAAGGAGCACTTAGGAAGGAACATTTAATATTTAAAAACATTCTATTATTTTGTCTTTTCTCAATCCATGTGTCTCTCACTTTTTGTGAAAGGGAATCTGTCCACAGAGACTTTGAAGTAGTTCAAGAGGCAGACCAAAGGAAGTTTAATTTCATATGAGCAATTCACTGCCTTCGCATTTTTAAGTGAGGTTAAAGCAGGGTGACTTATTTACATGGCGAAGGTTATTGCTGGCACAGCGGACGGAGCTTCTGAACCCTCTTGGTGATTTAGAAACATGGAAGTGTGTGGAATGACTAGCTGACCCGGCAGAGCAGCAGAAGTCTTGTAGACAATAAGGGATTGGAAGTTGCTGTGCTCTGCACAGAGTGTAGGTTTCAAAGGGACCATGCCGAGAAAGTTAGTGGACAGTCGCCACTGGGGTACACTCTTCCAGTAGCTATGCAACCAGCTGTCTGTCTCCTGGTCCACATTCTGAGGCAGGTCATACTGGGGACTGAGAGCTATGACACTCTCTTAAATGTTAAGTATTCCAGCACAGAGAGATGTATAAAATATGTAAAACAAACACAAAAAGGGATTGGTCAAGAAAGCATTTTGTTCTTGACTTTGCCTTAATAAATTTTTTTGTCACTATGACAAAAATACCTATGAAGATCATCTTAAAGGAGAAAAGATTGGTTGTTGCTCACAGATTCAAGGTTTCAGCCCGTGGTTGACATGGTGAGCCTGTAGTGAGGCAGAGCATGGCAGCAGAGGCATGTGACAGAAGAGGCAACTGTCTTAGAGAAAGCAGAGGAGGAGGCTGGGGACAGGGTATACAGGCACACCCCAATGACCCACTTCCTCCAGTCAGTTGCCATCTTCCAGTAGTCCAGTCAATTGTGAATGGATCAATGGATCAGGTCAGGATCCTCATAATACAGTCACTTCCCCAAAGCCACTACTGAGCACTGGGGATAGTGTGTGTATGTGTGTGTGTGTGTGTGTGTGTGTGTGTGTGTGTGTGTGGTATATGTGTGTGAGCACATGTGTGCAGATGCTCATGTCCATGGGCATGTGTAGAGGCCAGAGGTTGGCATCAACTGTTATCCTCTGTCACTGATCACCTTATTTTTTGAGTTAGGGGCTCTTACTGAAGCTGGAAATTGCTGTTTCAGCTAGACTGGCTGGTCAGCAAGCCTTGGGCATGGACCCTCCTGTTTCTGCCCCAGACCAAGCTGTTCTAGGTGATATGTTTAAACATAACCACGGGTCTGATAACATATACCATTTATGGACTATCAGCTATGTGCCAAGCACTTTGTTAGGCATTTTAGTTGATATCTTAATCTCTTATTAATCTTATTTTACAGAGGACTGATATTCAAAGACTGAATAATAGAAATTATTCTCATATCTGTTTTTAAAAGCCTTTCTTATGTTTCATTCTTGTTGTCTTAAGATTTTGCTTTTAAAACAAAAATGTCTGAAGAAAAAAATGTATAAAATTGGTATATTTACCCACATACTTTCTTTTCTTTGAATCTTTCTCCTTCCATGTCTGAGTTACAATCTATTGTAATTTCCTTGGTGATTCTGTTTGTGAGGCAAGTCTGCCAGCAAAAAAATTTCCTCAGTATTATTAAAAAATTTTTATTTCATCTTCATTTTTAAAAAACTGTGTATATTATGTGTGCGTGTATGTGTGTGTGTGCCTGTGTGGGCGTGTGTGTGTTATCTTAGGTGTCAGTCCTCACCTTTCATCTTGAGACAGGCTCTCCTGCTCACTGCCGCACACATCAGGCTAGCTGGCTCAGGAGCTTCTGAGGATTTTCCTGTTTTTACCTCCCATCTGGCATGCTGGGATCACATGTGCTATCCTAACACATCTGGCATGCTGGGATCACATGTGCTATCCTATGACATCTGGCATGCTGGGATCACATGTGCTATCCTATCACATCTGGCGTGCTGGGATCACATGTGCTATCCTATCACATCTGGCTTTCCATGGGTTCTGGGGATCTGAACTTCAATCAGCATGTTTGCACAGCAAGCACTGTAACCACTGAGCCGTCTCCCCAGCCTCACTCTGTTTTTGAAAGATAGTTTCACTAGACATGGAATTCTAGGTCAACAGTTTTGGGTTTTATTTTCTTATTTCTGCATCGTGTCTGAGCATCTTTTCTGTCCCCTCTTCTTGCTCCTTCTGGTCAGTCATAGCTCTTCTCTTGTACGTAATGCTTCCCTGCTTCCCTCTTAGGCCACTGGCATGACTTTCTCTTCATTCTTGGAATTCTACAAATTACCTTTTAATTTTGAGATGATCTAGAAATGTTTTAAAACTGGAAAAATGAACAAGCATTTCCAGGTAGGTTTGTTGGAGAGTGGGTATTTCGTGAGAAAGTGTATTAGTTACTTTTACATTGCTGTGACCAAAATACCTGACAGAAACAACTTAAAGATTTGCTTGGGCTCACTGTTTTACAGGGCTCAGTCCATCATGGTGGGGAAGGTGTGGTGGAACAGCTGTCTCACAGCATGATGGCAGAGGCTGTTCACATCACAGTGGACCAGGAAGCAGACAATGAGACAGGAAGCAGGAAGGGATAATGTATCTTCATATCCAGTCACCTATTTCTTCCATCTACGCTCCACCTAGTTTCCAGAACCTCCCAAAATAGCACCACAAGCTGAGGACCAAATTTCAGAACATAAGTCTGTCAGGAACATTTCAAATTCAAATCATCACAGGGAGCAAAATAAGGAATAGCAGGGAAGAGAAATATGACATTTTTAAGTCTAGGGGTCTTGAGTTCATCTCAAGAATTAAATGGCACAAAGAATCTCAGACACAGTAGGCAGAAAATTTTATTAAAAGTGAAGAAACACACCACACCACACATACACAGAGAGAAACAGAGAGATGAGAGAAAGAGAGAGAGTGCACAAGAGAGATATAGATACTGACTCTCCACAAGTGGGGAGGGGATTCAGAAACTGAAACTCAAACCCCCCTAGGAGGGCCTGAGTCTTCTGAGTATTCTTGGTGATATAGGGCAGGCTCCCTTCCCTAAGAAAAGGGCTGATAGGCCCATAGCACCAAGCTGAGTTATGTCTAGGTCTGACCTTGGACTTATCTAGACTGGTCTGGACCCATCAGCCAGAAGAAGGGCCCTGCTGATGGGAGAAAAAGCTCTCAGGCCTCTGTCTCAGGTGAGGAGGAAGCCGGAAGTTTGCCATCTTGTTACTTATCAATGGCCTTTTCCCTCTCTGCCTGCCTGTCAGAGATATGCCTAACTGTACATGGGGAGTCTACTAAACAGCACAGAGAGAGTGCTGAGAGGTAGGATGGGCTGGAACAGACAAGGCTGAAGGGCCCACGCTGTCTTTGGATGGTAGCTGTAGACAGTAGGGAGCCACTGAGGGGCTTCAAGAAGACCAGCAACACAATCAGATACAGTAAGGACACCATGCCAGCAGTGCTGCAGGAGATGCTCTCCAGAAGCATTCTTCAAGAAGGAAGACCAGATGGGAACTCACAACAGCATGTAGTAACAGTGGCACAAGGACAATAATGGCTATGGGGGGTGAGGGTGCAGAGCATGGCCTGGTTGACTCCAAACTTCTGAAACACTGTCTGGGTGAAAGATGAGTTTGGACCTTAACTTTCCTGGAGGACCAGGGTGTTGATGCTCCCTGTAGACCCATGTGGCAATCAACTATAGTGGTCTGCAGCTCAGGGGAGGCATCTGTGCTGAAATTTTGTTTTGAAGGTACATAGGGAGGAAACTGAAGATGAGGCTGTGGATGAGGTTGCCAGGAAGCAGTATGAAGTAGTAAGCAGGAATGAGCAAGGTGTCAAAGTAGCAGAGTGCTGTGAAAGGGAGGCACACAGACGGACAGGTGCTCGCAGAGACTGAAGGGTAGGCGGCCAGGCGCAGTGGAAACCACGGGGAGGGAGGAAGGGGAGTCAAACGTTTTAGAGAGGTGGGCAAGAGAACTGAAGACTCCCTGAATACGAGGCTGGCTGAGTGCCACTGACCTGGCACCCGAGTCACTGCTAGTCACAGCTGAACCTGTGCGGAACTGGAAAGTAGGCAAAAAAGCTCCTGGATCCCAAACTGTTTAGGAGTCTCTTCTCATCATCTTTACTCTCTGCTTCCCTTTCCCGGTTCGTTTCTGTTGCTCACTCTCCAGAAGTTTATTGTTGTGCTACTCTGCCCATCAAAGCCTACTCGGGCATTTGCATTCAACTTTCGAATAGTGGATGAAGTATTACTCTTTCTAGGGGACATATTCTTTACCAGTTTACCGTTTGGCTGAGAGCTTAACAGTGGATTTCATACTGATAATTCAAGATATGTGTA